TCACTGGCCAGTACCATGTAGCTCTTTCTGGAACTGATTTTGGGGCTACTCATGTATATCAAAACCATGACACTACGAATCTGAAGATGATATCACCTCCATTCTTCCAGTTTTATGGATAAGTTAACTGGCAGACAGATGACAAATGACCGGCGCCTAGTCATTGATGATCTCTGTAGCCTAATTAAGAATAAACACAAGATCATTGTGTTTCATATCAGTGTTATGTGTATCATGCTATGCTAATAAATTTAGTTGATTATAGTAAAGCAATTTTAAAACTGAAGGCACAGTACATGATAATATATAATGTGTACATATATTTTTATCTCCTATAACTGTGATTAACAACCTTCTGAGATATATAGTTGGTGGAAGATACCATCCGTTTGTCAACTTATTGTGTGGTTTTACATTTAAATAAAGTGTAGTCAATATTTCAGAAATCCATATTTTATTAACCTTTAATGGTAGAACAAATTTCTGATAAGTCCATTATCAGGTAGACAAATTTCTTTTCAATATTCTTTTAAGTACTAGGATAAAATAGTTTTACATTACATTTGTTAGTTTAAAGTTTTGTACCAACTTATGGACAACGACTTTTGGATAAAAGAATTATTCATATTTGTGTCTTTACACTCAGTAGAAAGTTGACTGTCTTTACAGAGGTAATTTATTATTGGCAGGTAATGCCTGGCTTGCTTGACCTCTCTATACAGGTATTGAGACTGGAATGCCAATCCACTCAGTGACTTATATTATCGTTTATGAAACCAAAGGGTCATGCAAATCTTTGTCTACATTTTCAACTAACAATAACTTACTATATATGAGTAATCCCCACGAATTTCCTTTCTCACAAACCAAAATTGATTCTTAGTTTGATTAAAACATAATGTATTGTATTTGCATAGAATACTATGTAGCATTTTGAAATTATTTTATTATAGTTATGTTTAGTTCACACTAACTGAAACAGTACATTTTCATATTATTTTTATTGATAATAAAGATTCTAAGACTATTAAATGTGAGAATTTCATGAAAGTGGCCACCCTATAGCACAATCTGACCTTTGAAAGTGGCAATATACTTGACATTGTTGATTTTGCCAAAGAAATTTGAATGAATCTGGTCCTGTTTATTTGGGGAATATATGAATGGCATGGCTCTTTGTTTCTGTGCAAAGGACTTTGCCAAATCAATTGATTTTGATGTATTCAAATTTCACAGATGAATTGTAATGTTCCCCAAGTTATAATTAGATGTGACAGTTTTCTTTTAGCATATTCCCCTCCCAAACTGATGTCTGTATTGCATTCACTTTAAGTTAATCGATCTAAATTTGCTTTGGTTTAGTTGGAATAGTCATAGGACCCTGAATTGAAAGAACTCCTGGAAACAGGAGTATCCTTTCTTTTTGTTTATTATAATAAATTTAGCAAAACTGAAGGTCTATTTAACTTCCACAGATCTGGGATGAAAATCTTGCAAAATCTGCTGAGGCATGGGCAGCCACTTGCATTTGGGACCATGGACCATCTTATTTGCTGAGATTTTTGGGTCAAAATCTATCTGTACGAACTGGAAGGTAGGAAGCAGTTATCCACATGATTATACCTCATTATTTATAGACCCTACAGTTATCAATTTTAAGTAGTATCAGAAATTATCTACTGATTTGTGAGTCAGGAAATGATGTTTGGCTTATGAATAACTTGATTTTTTAAAAAAAACTATACAGCTAGTTCATAAAGCCTAGTGAGACCAGCTTTCCCTCTTACCTTTAGAAATGCTACCTTCATCTGTATTTATCATTGACCCCACTGAGTCCTAGAAAGTATTGTGCATGATGCCCTGTCCTCCAACCCCCTACACCCCCCAAAAATCTCTGTGAGTTTACAGAAGCTATCTACATTTCTTTGTTTACATTCTCATCCCTCTGTATAATCACATACAAACAATGAAACTAGTAAGTAAGTAAATTGGTAAGATAGAAAATCTGCATTAACGTAAGAGTGCAAACAGGCATGTGTGTGTATGTTCACTATGAGAAAGTTCTTACTAATAGGATATTTCCTTCTACTGTAGAAGATCATGACCAACATTCCAAAACTCAATTCTTATGGGCACTTCCATTAGAGTTAAATTATTTTAACTATTTCTATATGCCTAATAAATCTAAGTTATTTTTACAATTTCAAGAGTAAATTTTCTGCATAAATTAAATAAGACTTGGATGATTTGTGTTTGCCGAATAATTTTTTCTCTGTTTTTTGGTATGGCCTGGTGTGTACTTAGATGAATGAAGGCTCATTGGGTGTTTTCATCCTTTTCTCTTTCCACAGAAATCAATAGCTCTACCAGATAGTGATTGCAATTGTCAGGCATGAAAATGAGCTTGTTATAATGAATAATTTTATAATACGTTTATGGTGTAAGATGAGTCCACTAAACAGGTTCCCCCGGTACTGAGTTCTATTTTGCTTTTTCTCTTGACATCTAGATATCGTTCAATTCTCCAGTTGGTCAAGCCTTGGTATGACGAAGTGAAAGATTATGCCTTTCCTTATCCACAGGATTGCAACCCTCGGTGTCCTATGCGATGCTTTGGTCCCATGTGCACTCATTATACACAGGTCATTTCAACTGTAGTGTTAGTTTTTGATTATCTTAAAAATACTTTCCTTATTTTGGTGATATTTTTAAGCAATATTGGAAGATACTGATTTATTTTTGCAGATGGTTTGGGCCACTTCTAATCGAATAGGATGTGCAATTAATACTTGCCAAAACATGAACGTCTGGGGATCTGTATGGCGACGTGCAGTGTACTTGGTGTGCAACTATGCTCCAAAGTAAGTACCAAGTTGAGTTCCATTTCCTGGATACTTGACTGAAGTTAGAGATTAGCAGCCAGGTGAGCATTTTTTAATAGTTATAGAAGTAAAATGTTCTGCAGTACTTCTTCACCTGTTCTTCATCCCCAGCCTCATCATCATTTCCACAGACCGGAAAAAGACAGGGTAAAAGGTTTCTTTTCACAAGGACAAGTATTATGAGTTAAAATTATAAGGATACACACTGAGATACCTGAACTCACTAAGTTCTCCTTGCCATCACTGCTCTGTCACCATAAGTGTAAGGACTGTGTTTCAAAATCATTGATAACTGTATCAAAGGCATCAGAAAAGAACCCGCTAACATTCATACCTGTATCAAAGGCATCACACAGCATCCTCTAACATTAATACTTGTATCAAAGGCATCAGAAAAGCATCCTTTAGAGATGTTATCGGGACAATGTTCTAAATTATCAGTACCAGAATGTTGGCTTACCTATTTCACTAGGAAAGCAACATATTGGGAAAGAATGATTTTTTATTTCTTCTCTCATTTTTTAGACTAAAATTTATTCAGTATCATCACCCTACAACCTACATAAATATAATACCAGTTTGTCAAAGATTACAAAGTCTAGTTATATGCTTAAATAGTCATTAGAAAGATCAATAAACATTTGTTAGCATTTAATACAATGCCTTCTTGATAACTGTAACTCTGAGAATGACAAAGTGTTCCAGAGTTCTCTTCCCATTTGGAATAAGTACCAAATGTGCACAGGATTTATGACACTTGTGGTACTTTTCCAGCCCATGAAGGGAGGGGCACAATGTGTCATGAGTAACGACATGACTCATTGATATGGTGGTGATTTTTCTTCAGAATTATTGTAATGAGGATCCTGAAAAAAATATATCTCAATAGATATTCAAACTCTGCATTTGTCTAATATTTTTACTTTTATGCCTTGTATCCTCTTATTAAGCACTTTACCATTTCTCCCTGTTTTTTTTTTAATTTTTTATTTAAATTAGAAACAAGATCATTTTACATGTCAATCCCTATTCCTTCTCCCTCCCCTCCTCCCCTGCCCCCCTGCTAACATCCTACCTATTCCATACCATTTCTGCTCCCCAGGGAGAGTGAGGCCTTCCATAAGGGGTAATAAGAATCTATCATATCTTTGGGGATAGGGCCTAGGACCACCCCCGTGTGTCCTGGCTTAGGGAGTATCCCTCTATGTGGAATGGGCTCAAAGTCCACACCTATGCTAGGGATAAGTAGTGAACTACTACAGGGGGTAGGGCCTAGGCCCTCCCCCATGTGTTTAGGCTGAGGGAGTATCCCTCTGTGTGAAATGGGATTCCAAAGTGCATTCCTATGCTAGGGATAAGTACTGATCTACTACAAGAGGTTCCGTAGATTTCCAAGTCCTCCTCACTGACACCCACATTCATGGGGTCTGGATCAGTTCCATGCTGGTTTCCCAGTGATCAGTCTGGGGGCCAAGAGCTCCCTATTGTTCAGGACAGCTGTTTCTGTGGGTTTCAACAGCCTGGTCTGGACCCCTTGGCTCATCACTCCTTCTCTGCAACTGGATTCCAGTTCAGTTCAGTTTTTAGCTGTGGGTATCTGCTTCTACTTCCACCAGCTGCTGGATGAAGGCTCTAGGATGGCATATAAGTTAGTCATCAATCTCATTATCAGGGGAGGGCATTTAAGGTAACCTCTCCACTGTTGCTTAGATGGTTAGTTGGTGTTATCCTTGTAGATCTCTGAACATTTCTCTAGTGCCTGATTTCACTTTAAACCTATACTGACTCCCTCTTTGATGGCCTCTCTTATTTTGCTCTCCTCTATTCTTCCCCCTACACAACCTTCCTGATCCCTTATGTCCTCTTCACCCCTCCTCTTTTCCCCCTTCTCATTCTTCTAGCTCTCTCTCCCCTCCCCCGATGCTCCCAATTAGCTCAGGAAATCTTTTCCCTTCCCCTTCTCCAGGGGACCATGTATGACTCTTTTATGGTCCTCCTTTTTGCCTAGCTTCTCTGGTGGTATGGATTACATGATGGTAATCCTTGTTCTATGTGGAAAATCCATATATGAGTGAATGCATTCCATGTTTGTCTTTTTGTGACTGGGTTACCTCACTAAGAATGGTTTCTTCTAGTTCAATTCATTTGCCTGAAAATTTCAAGATTCCATTGTATACTTCCGCTGAGTAGTACTCCATTGTGTAAATGTACCACATTTTCTGTATCCATTCTTCAGTCGAGGGGCATCTAAGTTGCTTCCATGTCTGGCTATTACAAATAATACCGCTATGAACATAGTTGAACAGATGTCCTTGTTGTATGAATGTACTTCTTTAGGGTATATTCTTAAGAGTAGAGACCATACTTTCAGAGATAATTTCTATAGTTCCTTACCATTTCTCCCTGTTATAAATTGGCCAGGTTGTAATGAGTTGACCAAAGACAGATTTTTAAAATTCATTTAGCTCTTCTGTTTCAGCTAAATAATAAAATTTCTTAATAATATTGATTAATTCATAGGCCTCCAAAATAAGGCATTGCATTAATATTAACTTATTATAGCACTAACATTGATATATGATAGTCTTAATAAAAATGTTAATGTATTACAGTCTTAATAAAAATCATAGGTGATTAAGACTTTTAAAATCTTGAATGGGAGGAGAATTTTATTTTTTCCAATTTCAGTACAAAGTTTTCTGTAAGCTATTGCTTTCAGTAGAAAAAGGAAAAAGGAAGAAAAATGAAGAAGGAAAGAAAAATAATATGTAAATAAATGGATTTGAACACTAAATGAAAGAATGAATGATGTATAAATTGAACAACTTATTCTTGTATACTATTATCAATAAGTATGATTTTTGTAAAATTTATATAGAAATTTATTCTTCCTTTGATATTCCCAACAAACTACTTGATTTTTTATTTATTTACATTATTATATATATTTTTCCAGTGCTGCATTTTATACACATATATAATGTATTTTGATCATAGCTCTCTCAGTGCCTGCTCTTGTACTTCACCCTATTCTGATGACGAACCTCCTTTTTGCCAATCTTCTGTTTTCTACTTCTATATCTTTTCTGTTAATGATGACTTAATGACTTCAATTACTGTTACTTACAGGATCAAGGAGTCTTAGGAACACCCCCCTCAGCTATGACAGAATATTAGTGGATCCAACCTTGTGCAGATCTTTTGCAAATTACCCTGCCTGCTTCGAGTTTAAATCCTGGGTATTTTTTAACAGTGCTAGGAGGAATTTAGCACAAGTCAGGAGTATTATGCTTCTTGAAACTATGAACTGACCTAGTGCCCTAGAAAGCTGCTAGAGCAGAAGACAAATGTGGTAGGTGGATTGAGCCTGGTGCTCATAGTTTATAATATCATCAGAAATGGTAAATACGACTTCATTACTTACTGGTCAGTTAAGATTCTGTCCATTTATTCAAAGAGAAAGCATTTCAAAGCAAGTAATATGGATTAAGCTGCTCTGGAAATTTTTAAAAATGTAATTTTCAGGACCTTATAAGATATGCTCCTCAAAAAGACCATCATGTGTCAAGCGGGTGTGAGCAAATGTGTAAAAGTATCTGGTTTGGGGTAACTAAGCAGCCCTAATGTGATCATTTCCTTTTTTCTCCTAGGGGTAACTGGATTGGTGAAGCACCATACAAAGTAGGAGTGCCATGTTCATCGTGCCCTCCGAGTTATGGGGGAGCCTGTACTGACAATCTATGCTTTCCAGGAGTAACATCAAACTATCTGTACTGGTTTAAATAAGCTTATCCCCTTTTCCCCCCTCTGGGAGATACATTGGTTTTTGGACTCATAAGCATATATGTATATTGAAGTTTGAACATATTATACATATTTTATTATAATCCTGTTCTCATTTTAGTAGTCAGTTGTCTAGTGTTGGTCTAGGATGTTAAGTCTTAGATATAAGCAAAGCGTCAATTTCTAATTTTCTAACCTTAAATTTAAATTAAAATATTGTATATGTAGTGATGACATAATTGTTGCATCCAATTCTAAAACCTGCATTCCAGGGAAATTGTGTTATTATGTCCCTAAAGTATGAAATGTACATTCAAGCTATATGTGTATTCCTATGTATACACATGCGTATATATATGTGTGTGTGTGATGTGACATGTAGGCAATAATATGATGTGATAGTTAACAAGAAAAAATGAAAAATATATTTGGGCTAATGGAACATTTTCAGGACCATTTCTGCAATACCCATGAAAGCATAGTTTACAACTCCATGACATTTGGAAATAATTTCATTAAGCAACTGTAGAATTCATTCTGAAGATACTTTATTTGGGACTACAAAGTGTATGCTGGATTAATGGAAGTTCCTATAACACACCTTTTGCTCTAGTTTTCGAATGAGTAAATCCGTTAAGTGTTTACTCAACAATTACTTTGACTAATTTACTTTGCTGGTTATGTTTTGATGATGCAACAATTATTACATGTGATTCCTGCCTTTGAGAAGCTACCAGAGATGTCCTCAAAACAGCATTTCCTGGTAATAGTGTTATAAATTATTTTTAAATAATCATTTTTCATGTAGTTTGAGGAACAAACATAGAAAACATTTAAAGGTGGAATGGATGATAAGTGGTGCTGTCTTACAGATAAAGTGTCTGTTTCCCAGAAAACTCCAATATCTAAATGAAATATGGGAGGTGTCTTAGTTATACTGCTGTGAATAGACACCATAACCAAGGTAGCTTATAAAAAGAAACCATTTAGCTAGGGGCTTGCTGACAGATTCAGGGGTTAGTCCATAGGAAGATAGAGACAGGCAGGCAGGGGGCATGGCACTGGAGCAGTAGCTGAGAGCCTACACAATGATCTGCAGGCAGGAGGCTGGGAGAGTGAGACTGGGCCAGGCCTGAGTTTCTGAAACATCAAAGCCAACTCACAAAGACACACTTCCTCCAACAAAGTCACACCTTCTCCAACATGGCAACACCTCCTGATTCTTCCTGAACAGTTCCCTAAGCAACATCCTATGTGAACCAAAACAACCATTGTCATTTAAATCACTAAGCCTTGTACAAATCAACAACTGCTCAGAGATTTCTGGAGCAGAATAGGCTAGGCTGAACACAAGATCCTCAGAATACTGATGAGGTCAAAGAAAAGTAAGAGCTATGAATAATCACAGGACTAGCATGTTGGTACAAAAAGACCAGACAGAAGGCTACAGAAGAGTTTAACACATCTTGGGACCCATTAACAAAAGTTGAAGGATTTTATAAAGAAATGTATAGGCTTGAGAGCACATTCATCTCAGTTTTCCCTGCCATTATTTGGAGGTCAATCTACCTACCATCTTGAGCTTTTGAATACCATATTCAAAATCATACATAAATACCACATAGAGTCAATTTTGTTAATATAACCATCAATGGAAGTTTTTCAAAGACCTAATTATGAAACTTTATTTTTAGAGAAGAGTAATTTTCAATTCCTCATTAACTTTGTTTATGAAAATCAAGTAAATGGTTACAAAGACTTTTCTCTTGAGATTAGGAAATACATGTCTTATTTTTCAAAGAGGACAATACACTATCTGGGCCAAGACATGGAGCAAATTATATCTCAAACGTGTGTGTGCGCACGTGCATGTGAGCTTGAGTATAGATGTACAGAGCAAGTAAACATGGTCTCTTCAGACAGCAAATAACAGAAGAAGGATCCATATTTAAATTCTATACACAGCTGCAGCTTCTTAGGTGGATGCATTGAAAGATGACAGATAGTTAATTAGATCCATTCAATGGGAGAAAAATCCACCATCTGGATACTGGGGCTACTTGATGACAAACAAATGGTCCAATTACTTTTAAACACTGACAATTGGAACCAAATGTTTTATTACTAAGTGACCTTGCCTTGTGGAAACATATATGGGCCTTATTCAAATAAGTATTTTGGGAATACATTAGAGAACAGAAGTATTATATAATATAGAGTTGATCCAATTTTCTTTTCTTTCTTTCGTTTTATTTCCCTTGAGACAGTATCACATATACCAGGTTGACCTTAAACTTACTATGTTGTCAAGAATGACCCAACTGACCCCTGATCCTCTTGCCTCTAACTCTGAACACTGGGTTTGGAGGTGTGTGCCAACTGGCCATTTGGTGATACGTGCTTGCCTCACTTAAGAGTGTTTTCATCTTTAATGTTACTGAAGTAAAAAACTATATAAACAGAAGTATACAACTCTTATTTCCAGGTTTCTTTCTAGCTTGCATGGGTAACTGGGTTTCTCAGATTGAAGGAAAAATAATGATGTTTGATATGTAGTTCACAGGTTTGCCCATGAAGGTTAATTCATCATATTTACAGAAATTTGTGAATATTAAAATGATCACAACCAGAGCTTCTCCTTGGCATGGACTCCATGTAATTCATTGTATTATCACAGCATGTTACACAGTGGCTGTAGTGTAGTAAATGTTTAGTAAAGGGGAGTTTTCAGAATTAGTTTAAAAGTCTAAACTTGTGAAATTTCAAATGAATTCTTCTTCCCATGCTTTTAAAGACCCCAAGTTCTCTAACACATAAAGGTTTGCATGTAGCAAAACCTTAAACAAATCATACATGGTATGAAATTGAAACTAGGGTCTACAGACTTACAAAACAACCTTTTCAAAACTGCAACAGGACCAGTAGCTTTTTGATGCAGTAACAACTGAACTGAAAACACAACGGGTATATTTGTTATTCTGTCTGTAACTTTTAATATCGGTATATAAAATGGCTATGTGAAATATTTTCTTTCCTGGGCTAATGCAAATGACAGTTTGCTTGTATCAATGTAGTGTCTTACATTTTCACAGGGTGCTAGGTTAAAAGACTTTCACTGTAATTCTCAGAGGTGCGACAGATTTGGTTGTGAACTGTTTCATACAGAGAGCTTTAAATAGTCAGCATTAAAGTTTTAATTTGGAAAATTCTCATTAAAAATAATATGACTGACAGCATTGATGTCCCCCAATGCTATTTATTTAGTAGAAAAATAACATTTTGCTATAATATACTTTTTTACCTTCATGTGGGAAAGACAACTAAAATGAAGTCAATGATTTCTACTATGAAATTCTTACAATGACAGATAAGGTTGCTGTGATAACATAGAAGCTGAGTTATTAATACTATTGCTTTTGCTTTTGGTGTCACCATGACTTGGCCCTTCAAAGCTTCCCTATAAATTTGGTCTGGTTCTATGGTTGCCTACTCTTGAGATGTTCATGAAAATTTCAACACATCCCTAGCACAGAGCAGACCAAGAGGAAGGGCAAGCCCAACCAAAAAGTCTACTCTGAATATTTTAATTTAAACAACATATTTCCCATATTTTTGTATTAAATAAACTCATGGAGTCTATACTAGTAAACCCAGTGCATATTTATACCACTTTAAGTGTTTTAGGTCTATAATTGTTTGGTAAATATTGCAAAAATAAATAGATGAGCTGAATATTTTCCTGAAGGAAAAGCAATGTTGTCACTCTGGACTGTCTTTTCCCTTAGGTTTCATAGTATCACAGGATGCGAATCTTAACATCGATGGAAGGCTTTACCTACTGAAATATTTAGGGGGGATAAAGTTATATTTCTAGTAATAGCTAACATTGTCTGTATTTTATGGAGGTTTTGTATTGTTATATGTGTGGGTGAAGACATTTAAATGAAAATGCCTTTTTAAAATTGTGTCATGGCTCAACTTAGAATTGTAAAATGTTGATTAAAATTGAGAAAGTTCAACAATTCACTGGTTAATGGTGCTGAAAAATTACAATCACCTATGGTTACAATTTTGAGGTTTCTTTGAAACTACAGTTATTATTAAGTGTGAACTACCAATATTTATCTATTTTGGTGCTAAATATATGGTGCTAAATGAATCATTAGTATCAACAGTTTTAAAACTATTCCTTTTATTTACTTGATTCAGAATAGGAAAAATTCTATCTTCACCGTTGTATGACAGTTGAATCTGTTTTGTCTTTTTTTTTTTAACAATACAATGTTATTACATGTAAATATATTTCTTTCTTCAAGTGGGTATTCTTTTCTGTGTGTTTGTGTGTGTGTGTGTGTGTGTGTGTGTGTGTTTGTGTGTGTGTGTGTGAGAGAGAGAGAGAGAGAGAGAGAGAGAGAGAGAGAGAGAGAGCTGAAAAGTTAATACCCCTGTGTTAACCATGCTGCACGCCCTAGCGCCCTCTGGTGTTTCTAAAAACAAATTTGTACTGACTCATAAACCTTTGGTAAAAGACGTTTGTGCTTAGTTAAAATTTACCTTGCCTTGTCCTGGAGATTTCTCCCTGAATCTCCCAGTATTAAAACCACAATACAGCAAGCTTGACTCTATGGGCTCGCCTTCCTAAGAGGTGGAGAAGCCGGTGCATCCTTCACTCACAGTTTCTAAGGTGCTTAATTTTGGTTTTGTATGTTTTTTAGAAAACAGTTTACTATTGTGTCTCATTTTAGGAGTGGTTGTTTTATTTAGCTTAAGGCATACCATAAAATGAAGCCATCTAAAATAGTAAATATATATATACTTGGAGTATATATACTTGGAGTGGTCCACTTCCATTCTGATCTATGATTTGATGTGTTATGCTTTCATATTATAAGAAGAAATAACATTTTATTATCCTACTAAAGGTGATAATTATCATGCTCGTGCTTTGGTAGATTTCATAAGTTATCTTAAAGTATCAAATAAATTCATCTGAGGTTATTTTCAAACTTGTTAAAGCAAGGGAACCTCTTCAATGATCTAAATCACACACAAGGCTCCAAAATAAAAGAAACATAATGTGAATACACTACAGATCTAGTGCCCAGAAACTTTCTTCTCTGCCCTAGAATTCCATTAAACAAAATAACACTCAGCCAAGTTAGCCAGCTAATTTACTCTAAACAATCAGCAAATGAAACACCAAATTGGAAAGCCTGAAGTATTTCTGGAGTTCTTTTAGACAACCATTTTCATTCTGAATGTTCTGGTAACCTATTGATTCTAAAGGGAATCAAACATTGGACTCACTGTGTTCTTGGCTAATTATTACAACATTAATGATTTGTTAATGTTTATGGTGGACTTTGGTAACATAATATGAATTAAAGATGGTTCATATATGAAGAGTATGTTTTTAAAAATGTTAATCTTCCAAGTATTTATACAGTCCTAAAATTCAATGTATCACATCAGAAGTTTTAAGCATTTGGATGGGCATAGTTCATTATTTAGTGCTGTGCTGACAAAAATGGTGACCCTTTATGTTGTGAAATAGTTTATGAATGGATATATATTTAACCTCTGTCCCTAGGGAACATAGCAAATGTAGCATTTTTTTGCCCTACTGTATTATTTTTCCAATAAAATATTATTACTCATTATTTTAATTTTGAAGTCTGTCTAATTGATTTTTTTTCAATAGTGTTAGAACCAGATGATATAATTTTTGAGAAGAAGTTACCCCCCTTTCTATAGCAACAATGAACATAACTTTAACACATCACTGAAATCCATTAATTCTTTCCTTAGTTTTCTTCTTTTCGTTTTTCTTCCTGCTCAACTTTTCCCCCTTCTTTTCCCATGAAGCTTCAGAAAAATAAAATACACTTAGAAAAACTTTTCTAGAAAAATCCATCAAGATTTTCTGTCTGTGGAAAATTACAGCACATGGCCATGATATCTTTATACCTGTCCTTACAGAAGCTCTTTTTTTTTTTCTGTTATCTATGTTTATTTTTTTCCCAAGAAATTATTTTTTATTAGTTCAAATTAGAAACA